GAATATCACAATAATAGCAAATTTTTAATCCAATTATTATTCATTTTCAGCAATACATAAAAGCAAACTTATTTTTTGATGGATCGAGAAAATAAATATTAATCTAATTCATTTTGTCTAATTAATGTAATATTAATAAGCACTAAAATATGTTTGTTTTATTTATTATATAATACTTATGTCCAAAATTTTAAATTAGCCAATATAACATAATTATAGAAATTCATTAAACTCTTTTCAATTTTTCTTGAATATTTTAAAAATTCTAACAATCAAACCATATGGGAATTTGCAACCAAACATAATTTCTTATTTTAAAGATATTCGTTGTCTCCCCATTTGCCTTTATCGAATACCTTATTTTTATGCATATCTTTTCTGTCAGCAAATACAACTACTAATCCTGGTTTTAAGATTAAAATAAGTCGAATTCTTACAATTTTCATATATCGAAGAACCAAATAAATTTTTAATTATTTCATTTAATATAAATTTTCCACTATTTATTTTTTCATATAAGGAAATAATTAATAACTTTTTTTCATCCTTTTTTTTGATTCAAATATGGAAATTTGAATTCAATGTTTGGCAAGATTGATTTAAACTTAGCTCTCAAAATATTTAATTTATAATTTATTGTCAAAGTGATTAATTTTGCCTTCAAATAAACTATAATAAATTAAAACTATTAGACTAAATTAAGAACATAGAATATTACAAATAATATCCTATGTCTTTTCTACTAACATGATTGAGTCTAGAGAATTAATTTTTTTATTTTTAAGGAATAAATGCAAATGAAAAAGTCCTTACTATAAATTCATGATAGAAGAATTTCTCTATCTCTTTCATGTTTGCATAGTTTCTAATTAATACTCATTTCTACTAATAAGATTTATAATGGTTGAAGGTAATGATATTCTTTAGAAATAGATTTGGAATAATAAATACATAAAAGACATATTAATAAAAATCAGAGGAGTATGAATTACTAATATTATTTTAATTAATTCTACTTACATTTTAGAGCTTGATAAGGATATGAATCCTCCAACTCTATTACATATAAATAACTCTTGTGTAAATAATTTTTATTTTAAAAGTGCTCATTAATATTCCTGTAAAATAACCAATAAAGAATAAAATCCAATTAAATTAATTTAATATCATGGTTGATTTTATTTTTCAAATTTATTAGGCTTTACTTCAGAATGAAATAAATTTTCAATAAATGAATAATTATTTTGGATTGCTACCTAAATAATTATAAGAATATTTATTTTATTTTTGCTTACTGAAATATCAAGTCCCCTGACTGTCACATTATTCACACAAAAGGTTTCAAATATAAGTTTTTAACAGCTTATGGTAAAAAAAAGGTTTAGAAAAATAGGAAATTTGAATATCATAAACAAATACTAAAATTCTTATAGCTCTCTCCAGATATTTTGTGTGATTTTTCATCTTAAAATGAAGTTTCTTTTTAGATTTTAATCAATTATTAGTTATATAAAATAATAAATAATGGAGATTGAAGGATTTGTAAAAGAAATATTAATAAAATTTATTTTTACAAAATGAATTTTACTAATGAGAATTCTTTGAGTAATTGGAAAGAAAAAACTATAAAAAAAGTAGTTTACTATTATCGAGAGGAGAATGTTGAGAAAATCACAATTTAAATCAAATTTACTTCAGGCTATTAAATCATCTATTCAGACGATAGAGGAATCTTGAGAATGTAAATTTATTTATAAAGCTAAAATAAAGAGTATAAGTGGATAGAGTTCTTGAGAATCCATAAATATTTAATAATATGAATCAAATTGAATATCTTTCTTGGCAAAGTTATTATAGTTAGAACAAAAAGAATATTTGCAAATGGATTGTTTCTTGGGATTAAAGAGTTTTAAAGAATGTTGGTGGATACTATAGTGTAGGGAAAAAGCATGGTTTATGGGTAGATCTATTCCTAAATTTTTGGAAGTAAATGTTTTGTATTATGAACAGTTAAGAACGAGTTTTCGAAATTGGAGAGTATTATAATGGTTTAAGAATTGGAAAATGGAATTTTTTCAAAGATGGTTAAAAGATGTAATTATTTATTAATTAATTAGTGGTGGTGGGTTTTACAGTATTGATGGTTAAAAATAAGGGAAATGGATTGAATTGGATTAAGGGTTTTATTTTAGGAAATAAGTTAAGTATAATGGAGAATATAATTAGAATGGTAAGAAAGTAGGTAGATGGGATATTTTGTATAAATAAAATACTGAACCATTTAAATTAATGTACATTTTTAATATTTTTAAAGGGTGCAGTGGTGGTGGAATATATAATCAAGAAGGAAATTAATAAAAGATTGGAAAGTGGGTAGAATTATATGAAAGGTTTGATATTTATGCTTAAATCACTTATAATGGTTAATATAATATGAATGATATGAAGGTAGGTAGATGGGATAGTATGTTTTATCTACCAAATAAACAGGAATATAAATAAATGTAAATATGATCTAATTAAGGAATATTATATCTGCTTGTTTAGTGGTGGTGGAGTTTATAATTAAGAAGGAGAGCAGAGAAAATTTGGAAAATGGACAGAACTTGATGAAGATTTTAAAGAAACTCATAATGGTGTCTATAATTAGGAAGGTATGAAGGTAGGTAGATGGGATATTATGTAATATGATTCGGAAAATAAGAATATAAAATAATGTAAATATTAGATTAGTATAAATAATATAGTGGTGGCGGATCGTATGATTTAAAAGGAAATTAGAAGAAGATTGGCAATTGGGTAGAATTTCATAATGAAAAATAAATCTTTTTTATTGGTGAAAATAATATGAAAGGTATTAAGGTAGGAAGATGGGATATAAAGTAATGGTTTTGGAGAGCTTAAAAATATATATAAATGTAATATTAGATAGGTATAAGAAATATAGTGGTGGTGGATCTTATGATAAAGAAGAAAATTAGATAAAGATTGGAAATTGGGTAGAATTCGATGAAGAGTTTCATGATAAGAAATAAGTCATTTCTCATGGTGAATATAATAAGAATGGTCTGAAAGTAGGCTGATGGGATATTATGTATTGTAAAGAAAATGAGCAAAAATATAGATAAATGTAAATATTATATAGGTCTAGAAATATAGTGGTGGTGGATCTTATGATAAAGAAGGAAATTAGATAAAAATTGGAAATTGGGTAGAGCTGGATGAAAACTGTTAAGTAACTTATAAAGGTGAATATAATATAAAAGGCATGAAAGTAAGCAGATGGGATATTATGTATTGTGAATATAACAAGCTAGAATATAAATAAATGTAAATATAATATAAGAAGAAGAAATATATAGAGGTGGTGGATCATATGATCAGGAAGGAAATTAGATAAAGATTGGAATATGGGTTGATTTGGATGAATGGTTTTCTTCATCATTATAAATCATTTATAAAGGTTAATATAATATGTCTGGTATGAAGGTAGGTAGATGGGATATTAT